ACTGTTTGTAAAGAATGTAGCCCTCTGTTTGCACCCACTCTCTAAAAAATATTAACAGCTAAATATTAGTGGTTTGATTCTCCAGAATTTAACAAAGCTGATTTTTTTTTTTTTAAAGATTTTAGAATAATCTCTACACCCAACATGGGGCTTGAACTCACAACCCCGAGATTAAAAATTGCATGTTCTACTGACTGAGTCAGCCAGGCGCCCCAACAAAGTTGAAGTTAATCAAAATTTCCCCCTCTTCAAGGATGGAGCAATTGTTTTAATTCATTCAGTTCTGGGTTGATCATTCCCAGCCCACCTTTTATTTTGCCCAAGTATCTATTTGGTGGAAATGACTGACCACGAAGATTCTTCAGGCACTTTTCCCTATTATTGGACATTGTGCCTTGATGAAGTGTTATCTAGAATATCTCATTCTTCACTCTTTTTTTAGCTACATAGAAGAGAATTCTTTGTCATTCTGCAGGAGGGAGGAATAATGTCTGGTTCACAGGCTAACCATGCTGTTTCAGGCTTTTCTTCTGCTCTTAAACAATTTAATTATTTCCCAGGGAACATAACTGGCTTCGGTTATAATATAAAAAGTATATCCCAGTATTAGGAAATGCATGGGTATAACTTTGTGTCCATCTTCAAATGACTTGAGGTTCCTTCGAGCTTATCCAATCTAATCTAATCTAATTCCATGTCTTGGAATCTTCCTACTAAAGGCAAATGATTCCCTTAATTAGCTGAGATGACTAGCAATAATGATGAGGCAATGTCATTTTGTTTTTCTGGAGGCTTCCTCCTAAGCAGTGGGACTGTGTGAAGTTCTTGCCACCAAAGAGTAGTTTTCTTTCTTTCTTTTTTTTTTTTTTAAAGATTTTATTTATTTATTTGACAGAGAGATGGAAAGCACAAGTAGGCAGAGCAGCAGGCAGAGGGAGAGGGAGAAGCAGGCTCCCCCCTGAGCAGGGAGCCCAATGTGGGGCTCGATCCCAGGGCCCTGGGATCATGACGTGAGCTGAAGGCGGAGGCTTAACCCACTGAGCCACCCAGGCACCCCCAAAGAGTAGTTTTCAAACTTAAGCATAAAAAAAACCTTACATGGGGAGCGAGTGATTGTCGATTTCTGGCTCCTAGCTCCAAAATTATATGCATTATACCCAGGGCATTTTAAGGGTCTCTCTTTGAAAACCAATGCTCCAGGAATTTGATAAGTTTTTATTGAATTTAATTCAGATTTTTCATTTTTAAATTAAAGGCAGGTACAGGAGCTATGTTAAGTCTCTGGATAGGACTCTACCACCCCTTTCAAACGATTTCCTTTGTCATATATCCATGCATGCATCCAACTGCACAGACCAGGTGCTAGGTATTGTGCTCCTAGAGGGGTGTCTCTCATTGAGGCTATCCATTTAGCTAATGGGATTCCTGTTATGAAGTTTGCCCGTCAGCCTAGCTCCTGACCACACTGGGAGACGTGGTGTGGTATGATGCGATATGATGAGTCACTGCATTTGGGAAGCTGTATGTAGACTTTCTGTACTTTGATTTCCTACCATTGCCTAATGGTAAACGTTGGAACATAACCAGGGGTCTCTAGCCCTGATTCGGTCCCTGGAGTAGGGTCCTGTTTGAAAAGGGCAATTATAAGTAATTTAGTAATGATTTCGATGAACACGAGAACAACACTGTAAATACCCCCCAAACGACAGCTGGCACTAGTAGCAGCCAATGATGACATACTATGACTTACTTCTTCCTTGGCTCATGGGTATAGCTAACCTTTGGGGAGACAGAAGTCTTGTAGTACAGTGCTGGGCGTTTGGGACTAACAGAAATGGCTGAGGCATAATCCCAACCCTCAGAGAATTTCTAACCAGGGAAGGGAGAGAAAGCGAATGGCTCAGCCAAGTGTAAACATAACTGTGATTCCAGGCAGAATGGTATAAATGCTATCGGAAAGATCCAAAGTGTTAGAAGGGCTGGAGGAGAGAGATCACACATTTCGGTGGCTTTTCCCAGAGGAAGCAGCATCTGAGCAAGTCCTTGAAGGAAGGGTAGGAATGTGACAAATTATAAGGGAAGAGAGAATTATTATAGGCAGTAGACTGTCTTGAGCAAATGTGGTGAGTGGGAAAATGGGGATGACTTCTGGGGAACTGGGAGAAGTCCTCTTGGAATATAAAAATAATCCTGTTGGGGAACTGGACGTTCTGTTGGGTTTCAGGGGAGATGAGGCTAGAAAGCTGGGTTCGGTCAAGATCATATCTCAGTTTGGTCTTTTGCCCGTAGGCAGTGGGGAGCCATTTAAAAGGACTTGAGCAGGAGGGTGACACCATCAGAACTGTACTTGAGGAATCACAACAGCTGGGTGGAGGAGGATTTGGAGGAGGAAAGGTTATACAGACATACCAGTAAGGAGGCCCTGCAGAGAGAAGAGGCGGAATAATTTACTGAGCAGCCAGAGGGGCTGGGATAGACAACACAGCAAATAAACCTAAATGGGAGTTGCAGGCAAAGGTGAAGAGGAATAAAGCCTGGGGGCCTGTAACAGGCAGCAACAATAATAGCAGTCTAGGGGAAGGAAGAGAGCCTGGTTTCCAGGGAAAGGTGGTGCTCTGGGTTTGAGGTGGCCACGGGGCATCCTCAGGGCAATAGAAAAGGGAGCTGGCCATCAGAAGAAATAAATGAGCTGAAGCAGAACCCTTGGGTGGGAGTGGAGATGGTGGAAATTCTCCAAGGGGCAGGTCACCAAAAATGGAGAAGAGGACCATAATAGGCTCTAAGGAAGGGTGTACACTAAAGAGTTTGGAGGAAGAGAGACCCAAAGACAAGGCAGAGAAAGATGAGTTGGAGAGGATGGAGCCACAGTAAAGTGTCAGGAAAACGAGGGGGAGAACAGTTCAAGACGGAGAGAGTGCTCTCAGTTTAAGTGACTGCCGAGAGGTGAAGTTGTGCTGAGATGTTGAGCTGGATTTTTTTTTTCTTTTGTGTGTGTGTGTGTGTGTGTGTGTTTGTTTTTTGTGTTTAATAAAGATTTTATTTATTTATTGGAGAAAGAGAGCATGAGCAGGAGGGAGAGGGAGAAGCAAGCCGCTGAGCAGGGAGCCCCATGCAGGGCTCTATCCCAGGACCCCAAGATCATGACCTGAGCCAAAGGCAGATGCTTAATGGAATGAGTCACCCCAGGTGCCCTGGATCCTTCTTTGAATTAGAGTTAAACCCAACATGCTAGTTAAACTGTAGGAGGATGCCTTAAATCTAGTTTCTTTGGTTCATTACAAGATTGAAATCTCTAAAGTTAGGTACCTCCAAAATTGTCTATTTTTCTGTTCAGTATGAATTAATTTCTTCCATTAACACATCCTATGACCCTGAATGAATCATTTATGCTGTCTGGGGGCACCTGTTTTGTCATCTTTCACTTTCCAGATAAGCAACTCTGTGTTTATGTATGAAAATGCTTGCTAATCTATACACTATTATACAAGCCTGAGACTTAGGACTGTTATTTCAGAACAGAACAGAGATCAAATTGTATTTTACCTTTCCACTTATGTTCTTCTCCCCTCACCTACGTTTTTCCAAAAGTTTAAAAATTATTTTTATTTTTTATTTTTTAAGAGATCCGGAAGTGGGACAACTAGAGGAAAGAGCCTTCTCCTCCCATTTGCCTATAAAGCTGTTCTTCCAGTGTTTTGCCCAGGCCTTTCCTTAAGCGCTGAGAGGTGCATTCCAAAATACCAGAGGAATACACAGAAACATAATGTCATCAAAATCTTCCTAACAAGTAAGATAGCGATTGAAAGTCTGCAAGCATGCCGTCCCCCGGGGACCTGCGGCTTAGGGCTTCATAGTTAAGACCCAAGTTAAGAGTTAAGAGCCAAGACCTACAGTTCCAGGTCTCCCAGGCCTTGGCCTTCCCTGGGCGATTTTCTTTAAAAGTCAGAACCGCTCTATCCCCTTTAATTTCAATCCAGGCAACGAGGCAGGCAAGTGGGCACCACCAGCCAATAACCTGAAAAGACGGGAAAGTGTCAAAGGACATACGGTTTATCTTTGACAATAGCGACCATATCAGTAACGCGGTTTACAGTAAAAACAGGTGGGGCGAAGAGTAAGGATGGATGTTTCTAACGTGGTAAGTAAGTCCGTGGCTAGGACCCAGATGGGACCGAGCTCTGTGGCCTGCGAACAATGTCCGCAGGGTTCCCGGTTCAGCCCGGGACTCGCCTGTTAGCCTTCGCCAAGCGCCCTCGCACCAGCAAGCTGCGCTCTTGGCTTGCTCGCCCCCCCACGCAGCCTGTACCCGAGAGGAAGGGCCGTTCCGGAGCCACCAGCGTGGCGGAGAGCACTGCGCGCGTCCCGAGCGCCTGGGCTCTCCGCAGCCGGGCGTCCGGAGCCGTGGCGGGTCCGACCCAAATGCGCCCCGAGCGCGTTCGCAGCCGCAGACCGCCGCCGAGCGCCCGGCGTCTGCACCCGGCTGGGTTGTGAGCGCGCGCCCGTGGGGGGTGGGGTGGGGTGTGTGTGTGTGTGTGTGTGTGCGCGCGCGCCCCCGTGGCGTGTGTACTCACAAAGGTGTGTTTGCTAAATCCACTGCC